ATGTTATGTCTGCAGGACTTTAGGTATTAAAAATGGGCCATGTAGGTCCACGTTTTGGTATAGCCTCCATATAACGGTACCTCCCGATATTTGGTACCTTGTTGATTTTAGCGACATTATATACCGGAATTGTTTCAAATTTGGTATTTGATGTTAGTAATGAATGCTTCAGCCTAAGACAGAAAATTGCCTGTGCAGGTCCGCGTTTTATAACCCCCATGGTACCTCCCTATATTCGGTATTTTCATGATTCTAGCTACATTATAAACAGATATTTTTTTAAAGTTTCGCATTTGAGTATTGTAATAGCTTATGACAAAAGTTGCCTATAGAGGTCTACGTCGTCGTATAGACCCTAATATACGGCTACATTCGATATTTTTAAGATTTTAACTGATTTTTTTACGGATTGTATTTTCTTCGAAAATTGCCAAATTTATACCAAATGGTGGAGGGTATTCAAAATTAAAGTTAAAAATTATCAAATGTAACCAGACATAAAAGAATTTTTATATACCAAACTTATATTAGCAAACACTTTAAAATCCACTCATTATGGTATTGTCCAGTATTCTCCAGGGGGGTAGGAGGTGCCAGGTTTTTTGGCATTAAACGATATATTCAAATCGCAATTACATTCACAGCTTTTTTCACTATAAAATTAAGACCTTCATGAATTTGTATTAAAATACTTAAATACTTGTATTAAACCTTAACCCTTAAAATACTTGACCCCTTTTTTTTATGAGAACACTTAAGCGATGTACCAAATGATAGCAAATTTACATTAGATATAATTTTACTACAAATATTCTGATGACCAAAGTTTGAAGAGACCCAGGCAATAATTTTCAATTTTATGAGAGTTTTGACAAAGACCTAAAATGGTAAAGACTAGACAAAATGCATTCTGAGCAAATGGTTTGTGTCTATACTATCTAGATAACAGTTCATGACAGGACCATGTTTATATAAAAAACACATTTATAGAAAAAAATGACAAACAAATGTTTGAAAAATCCAAAAATTGGGTTTCAAAATTCTATTCCATATACTTTTCAAATTAATTGCATATTGCCTAAGCGGTTTGAATCGCATTACATTGCTAACTATGTTGTTATGATATCATAACAACAGAGGTATTTTCACAGGTTGCCATATCTTGACTCTGTTTTGTCCCATCTTTATACTTCTATGTCATTGGTTTTGATTAATAACAATATTCAAATTATGATGGAAATCGGACACTAACTACACACTTTATAACAGTGATTGGGATTTAAAATCTTGACCTATTAGTGAGAGGTGCGAGATGCGGTGATCCAATTTATTTCATGTTCGCTCCTAAACTATACCTAATATAAATATTAACATGGATAAAGTTTGAACTCTATTTTATGTGAAATAACTGACCGACTGACTTGGTCAATCGGAATGAGCTAGAGTTCCGAAATTTTAAAAGAGAATCACTGATAGATTGCAGGATATTGGAAATTCGAACTTTTATGTTACGAAGGGAGAATAATTGTAATTTGGAGGTGGTTTCGAAGATACGGTTGGTTTAATACGTTTGTACAGTAGGTTTAATACATTGCGTGGGATTTGGAAATACGTACTAAATAGCATTATTATTGGTATTAGGTGAAGGGATAACCTGAAATCCCGATATTTGATATTGATCTGTTTGTATCTGGTGGTGGTTTTGGAAATGAGTACTAAATTTTACGAAAAGTACTAAATTTGGTATTGGGTAAAGGGATAGGGCTGGAAATTTAAAATTTGGTTTGAGAGTCTTTGTGTGTAGAATGGTTTTAGACATGCGTAGTATAACTGTACGAAAAGTATGGTAACACACTTGGGATTGGATCTGAGGAGAGAGCTGGAACTCTTAAATTTGACAACGAGATGGACAGTTTTTGTTATGAAAAGACGATGAAATATTTTTGACCAGAAAAATTGGATGTGGATGCATTGTGCAAGGGTTGAACTAGTATTTGTCTGTTGTCTGTTTCGTGTCCAAGAGTTGGTAAAGGACCAACAACCCATATCTTCCATTAAAAAGTTGACGGCGCCTGCAAAATTCAACATCATTCTCAACCCTGCGAACCAAATGACGGTCGTCCGACACATCTGCTCAAAAGTCTGAAGTTTTGTCCGACGCGTCTGACTGACAAATTTAAGAATTTTGTGCAATTTATCTGTGTTTCGTCTGCAGGGTGGAATATATAGGTCCACGTTCAGGTATAGCCCACATATAACATTACCTCCTTATATACGTATTTTGGTGATTTTGGATACAGTATTCATCGGAATTGTCTTTTGTTCTTTTTACTTTTGTCATAACATTATAACAGTTGGAAAAACATCAGAATTTCGTGAGACCTTTCTTCCGAATTCGATTCGAAAACTGTTCGAAAGGCGGCAAAAAATCAGAAATCCGGCCAATATTATATTCGTATTCGGTCCGGAATCTGACAACTCTTACTTTCCTTTCGCCAATTTCTCAAGATTATTGAGATTGATCCCATTTCGGTTCGTCGTCAGGGAAATTTTCTGTTTTTCAACAACCTTTCGGTTCAAGAACACGTGAACCACTCGAATACATTTTCGATCATAGGTCGGTCCCAACATGCACTCGAAATCCGAAGTTTCCACACCACTCGAAGTCTGACTGAACTCGGAGTGTTTGGTTGGGTGTTTGGCTGGTTAATTTATTTCGACTTTACTTAGAAAGCGTAAGACAAAGACTTTCGAAACAAACTTTCCTACAAGGTCGATCGCATTAATTTTCATACCCTCCACCTTGAAGTAACATCCCTAAATATTCGTCGTACACCCCATAAAGTACATATATATATTCATGATTAGCATAATATTATAAGTCGATTTAACGATAATCGTCTGTCTGTCTGTTGAAATCACGATACAGCCCACATTTTTTGACGTAGAGCTTCAATATTTTGCAGAACTATTTGTACTCGTATTGTGTCTAGGATGGTTGGTTTTGAAAATGAGATATATGTGTTAACGTTTTTGTAAAGTATTCGGTATTTTGATGATTTTCGCCATATATTTTACGAATTTTTCTACAAATAGGTTTTTCTAGCTCCGATGGCATAATATATGTTTTTTTTTTTTTTTGAAATGTTTAACAGCGTTTTCCAAACGGTCTTACTGGTATTTGTAGTTTAAATTGGAACACGTTTGAATTCTGATACATTTATATAAAAGTGTATTTCATCAATGGGTAGGTCGATGGTATTAAAAGTTCGGCCTGGTCGAACTTAATGTTTTTTTACTTGGTTATATTACCACTTATAAATTTTATTCTTTTTTGCATGTTATTTAACAAATCGATTTAAAATGATTGACAGCTTAATTAGCTTCGTAATGGTTTGAATTTCTTAATTGTCATATCTAAATATTTGGATCAAAAGATAGTGTGGTGTCTGGCGAAGTTATAGTTTCGAACAAATCAGTATGATGAAGAGCATTAGATTTGTGTTTAATTGAGCTTAATTTTTTTTCAAAATCTAAAAAAATACACAAATATTCGAAATAAAAAACAATGTTTATTCGATAAAACCTGAATTGCACAGGCATGTCAGCAGAACCAATTCCCAACCCACTTGTACTGTCCACTGGGGTAGGACAAGGTGTCCTAAGGATCTCTGAAATTCCTCTAGGATATTCTTAAATAGAGGAGGGTATATTAAGTTCGTCATTCCGTTTGTAACGCATCGAAATAATAATATATAAAAATAACAAAGTATATACAGGGTGAGATGAAAAAACTGCAACCAACTTCAGACTACTGTCATTTTTGATGTAATTCAAGCGTGATATTGTGATTTCTTTATATTTGGCTGGAAAACCACAAGTGGTCGTCGTTAGAGCATTCCAGCATTTAAATGTGAATAAATCCTTTGTGTCTCGTACCATCGCTTGTTACCATGATACTGGTAGCGTAGCCCGGCGTCAAGGAAATGGACGGAAGAAAACAGCAACATCAGCAGAAATGGTTCGAAATATAAAGAAGCTACTTGATCAAAACCCACGTCGCAGTGGCCGAAAAATGGCTCGTGAGCTAAACATATCACAATACTCCATTCGCCAAATATTGAAAAATGAGCTCGGGGTAAAGCCATTGAAATTCCAAAAAGTGCAAGAACTTACACCCCAACATAAAGAAAATAGACACAAAAGAGATCTGACCAAATAGGTCAGCTGAAAATGTGCACCACCAGAACTCAAGCACCGGTCATGGTGATGGTGTGGGCCGCCATAACAGCCGATGGTCATTCTCCGCTCGTATTAATTAACCGTGGCATCAGAATAAATGCTGAATATTATTATTCTGGAGGGAGTATTAAAACCTTGGGCACGCAAACATTGTGGCCGCAGACCTTGGACATTCCAAGAGGACTCAGCACCATCGAACTCAGCACACGCCACCCAAGAATGGTTACAAAATGAGGTTCCTCGCTTCATTTCCAGCGCACAATGGCCACCAAAATCTCCGGATACCAATCCGTTGGACTATTGTGTCTGGAGTATTTTGGAAAGCAAAGTTGGCACTAAAAAATACCAAAGTGTCGATCACCTCAAGCAAGCGCTTCGCCGGGAATGGGTCAAAATACCGCAGATCAACATTCGGGCAGCGTGTGACGATTTATTTGGCTTTTGAAGGCATAATTCATGCCAAAGGTGACCAATTCGAACAAATCTATACTTATTCTAAAATTTGATGCTATTTCCGACATTTTTGCTTTCATTCAATAAAATTTAAAAAAAATGATGGCGTTTGACTTTGTTTCAGTTTTTTATCTTACTCTGTATACAGAAACTTATCGCTACCGAAAAAAACCGGACATAATCCTCATAATTGTAATGGGGTTTATGTACGGGCGCAGTATAGTTACATATGTTGGATATCACATGGTCGACCCTGCCCGACATTTACCTTTGCTTGCTTGCTTGCTGTATAGTGTTATTATTAAGTTTTAAAAATTTTTTAGTCTCCAATTAATTTTTATTCATTTTAGGTTTAACATTCATAAAAAATTGTACAAAATTATTTTGCATGTAATGGGATCCTCAACATTTAAAATCGACTATTCAATAAGGAAATCGGCTGTATTCATACAAATGTTCATAAATAATTTATAAATTTTATCTTTAACTATATTTTTTCCATGAAATGAGATTTTGGTCTTGTTGACAAACATTTCTCCTTAATAGTTAATTTGATTAAAAATTTACAAGAAATGTCTAACTAATATCGATATTTATAAAAAGTGTAAACTTTCCAGCTTAAAATCTATATGTTTCAACCAATGAGTAATTGGAACTTATTTCATCGATTCTAAGCAGACTCATGACTACCAATTTAATAAAAAATGCTCTATTCTACCAACTGAGCTAATCAGTAAACATAATGAATCAATATCTAATAAATAATATGACTAGAGTAAGCTAATTTCGTACTTAAACAGTAAATTATATGTGTAAATTTCTAATAATGGAAATATTTGGAAATAAATACTAAAAGTAAAAATATTGTTGTTCAGCTTCAACTATAAAATCGCCGCAAATCTCGGTAATTTCGTATGCTATCGATCAGAAGGCAGGAGAAAATGGAACCAATAAACTGTAAATGTAGCGAGGAATTAGAATATAGATTTATGGAAAAAGAAGCATTATTTTAACTAACCTCGGTTGCAATGATTACCCAACTGAGAATATTGAATTTCTCCACTTTCGATTTGACATAATCACGATATTTGTCAGCACAGCCATCTTTGTACAAATTATGTATTTTAATGCAGTTGTGATCTTTACAACAGCTTGTGGGCGGATATTTGTCAAGCAGGTAATAGTCTTCTGGACTGTTCTTGCCGCAGCATTGCAGCTGAAATGTTAAAGAGAAACTTAAACATTAAGCCTCTTAATGGGTATTTATAGTTTTTTCTCCACTTACCCATTCTTCATAGAATGACAAATTCTCGCTGGGTTTCAAATGCAACGGATCCCAGAGTTCATCAAAGCCCTTCTCCAGCCTTTTCGAAACGCCATTATTCAATGCCGTATAGCTAATGCTGACCAATACGATTTGCATTACCAGCAATGCGATTAGAAGAACTGCAAACTGTAATTTAAATACTATTCAAGATATGTACTTTCAAAGCATCTAAAAATAGTACAACTTACGCTGATCAACATATTGGACAGCTCAAACACGGACGCCAATGTTCCATAGATTGCTGTGAAAATTAACACTCCGCCCAAGGTCATTATAACAATGGATGCTAATTTTTCCCCATGATCGAATTTTTCATCGTCAATACTTTTGTAGAGCCATGATCCGAACCACGTCAATACAGAACCCAGAATCTGAAAAAAAGAGGTAAAATAACAAATCAAATAATGTTAACAATTGAAAATGATGTTTACTTCGTCCGGACGAAATTGTTTAGCATTCACAATGAAAACAATGAATGAAGGTATCGGTAAGGTAAATGTTTCAAGTGCGCTGAAATCTGTTGGAAAATGCGAATAAAGTCACTATACTATAAAGGCTTTTATATGGAGCCATACCAAACCGGGACATTTTCTGCTACAGTGGTTGGTATACATTGAAGTACTAAAATGTACTATATCTTGTACCATTTTGTATCATTGTGAACGGTTAGATTTAAAAAAAACTTGAAATTTAGAATAGGAATCAAGGTTGAGGAGTAATGTCGATGTAAGGAGGTTATTTTAGAAGTGTGTACTCATGTATACGAAAAATACTGAACGATACTAAATTTTGCAAAAGTTGGAGAAACAGATGAAGCTGGAATGCTGAAAATTGAAATTAACATTACTGTTGGACTGTAGGATTGGGATATGGAGGAAGTTTTCGAAATTTGTACTTTTGTGCACGAAAAGTACTGAATTTAGCACAATTTTTATTTGATGAAGCGAAAGAGCTGGAATGCTAAAATTTGGAAATAAGATTACTAGAAAGAGGTATGTGGGTGGATTTTGAAATTCGTACTTATGTGTACTAAATGATACTAAATTGGTACAATTTAAGTTTTGGGAGAACCGATCGAGTTAGAATTCTTAAATTTGAAACTACGATTATACGGGGTATGTAGCAATTATTGGAAAGACGTACTTATGTGTACTAACTGGTACAAAAGTTATTACAATTTGTATTTAGGTGAACCGATCCTGAAATTTGGAATTAGAATTACTGTGAGGGTTTAGAATTAGTATATGTAGTAAGTTTTGGAAATTGGTACTTATGTGTACTAAATGGTACTAAATTTTGTATAACATGTATTTCCCAAAGGGAAAATTCCATCGGTAGTAGATCAAAAAAATATTTTCAGCATTTAATCTGTTAATGAACTTAACAATAAAAGCTTGGCGTGGGTAGAAATAGTATGACAAAAGATTGGTGAGATCCATTCCCAAAATGTAGGATGAAATTCCATCTCAACATATTTAGACCTTTTTGAGAATAACAGCAAAAATTCTAAATATATATTATGCCGAAACATCTGTACCAATAATTGAATATTATTTATTACAAAGAACATGTTGCTTTGTTTGAGAGATGTTTATTTTGTGTGTATTTAAAATATACCATATTGTCAATTGAGTCAGTTTTATGTCCATTTCATTTTTTGGGGTAGTGATACTCTTGTAAGCTTTCAGTAAGTTTGGAGACCTCTAAATTTAAAACTTACAACAAAAATTCCTCTATTCCTGTAAGAATGTACTAGTTTTGCATTTTTATACCCTCCACCATAGTATGGAGGGTATATTAAGTCTATGTCGATTTGAAGATGTCCGTCCGTCTGTGGAAATCACTCTAGCTTCCGAACGAAATTAAGTAGATTGATAAAATTTTACTTAAATGTATATTATGTCTGCAGGACTTTTGGTATTGAAAATATAGGTCCACGTTTTGGTATAAAGGTACCTCCTTTAGCGATATTATTAATTGCAATTATTTCAAATTTGGTATTTGAAGTTCGAAATGGATACTAAAGCCAAAGACAGAAAATTGTGTGTGTAGGTTCACGTCTTCATATAGCCCCAATATAACGGTACCTCCCAATATTCGGTATTTTGATGATTTTAGCGACATTATTTACCGGAATTGTTTCAAATTAAGTAGTTGAAGTTCAACATGGATTCTGCAGCCCATGACAAGAGATTGTCTGTGCAGGTCCACGTCTTCGTATAGCCCTCATATAACTGTTCATCCCGATATTCGGTATTTTTATAATATTACCGACATTATTCGCGGGAATTTTTTCAAATTTTGTATTTGAAGTTCGTAATGAATACTACAGCCTATGACAGAAAATAGTCTGTGCAGATCCACGTCTTCGTATAGCCCCCATATAACGGTACCTTTCTAGATTCGGTATTTTGATGACATTATTCATCGGAATTGTTTGAAATTTGGTATTTGAGGTTCGTAATGGATACTGCAGCCTAAGGCAGAAAATTGAAAATTGTCTTTGTTGCTCCACATTTTGGTATAGCCCCAATATAATAGTACCTCTCTATATTCAAGCAAGTCCTAATATGATGGCTACATGTGATATTTTTAAGATTTTAAAAGATTTTTTAATGGATTTTATCTTTTTGAAAATTGTCAAATTCGTTCCAAACGGTGGATGGTATTCAAAGTTCGGCACGCCTGAACCTTCAGCTATTTTACTTGTTTTTTTTTTTTTTTTTTTTTTGATATCATAAAGGAAAAATCGATTATCGTAGTAAAATTGTTACATTCTTGCAGTTCTGGAACAGAGCATATGTTTTCTTTTGTTCAACATACTTACGTGTTACCATCTTGTGGTTGGACATTATGATTGCTTGAAATTGGCTATCGTAGTAAAGCAAATTCCATATGCAAATAATTAATCATTCTTAAAAGTAATATAAATAAAAATATAAATTCATGTGTAATGTCTATCTGCAAAGTTATTTTTTGCTGTAGCACCAAATGTAATATTGGGACTAGGTTAGTTTCGAATATAAATATATAACATTTATAGCCTTTGACGATTTATTCATTATACCCTACACCACAAGGTGGTCAGGGTATTATGTCTTTGTGCATTTGTTTGTAACAGGCAGAAGGAAACGAGATAGACCCATAGTTCCTTTTGATGATCTGCATAGAATCACATTCTGAGTCGATTTATGCATGTCCGTCCGTCCGTCTGTCCGTCCGTCCGTCCGTCTGTCCGTCCGTCCGTCCGTCCGTCTGTCCATGTATTTTTGTAAACAAAGTACAGGTCGCATTTATTGCCCGATCCAGATGAAATTTTGCAAAGGTCTTTTGTTTGGCCTAAGGACGAACCCTATTGAAATTGGAGATAATCGGTCAAAATTTGGATATAGCTCCCATATATATCTTCGTCCGATTTGACTTTTATTGTGCACCAAACGTGTAATATCAGCCCGAATTGTATGGAATTTTGCACATACACCCATATTAGGCCTGAAAATATGTATGCCAAATTTGATCGAAATCGGTTCAGATATAGCTATAGCTCCCATATATATTGTTCATCCGATTTGTTATTTTTGTCCACCGCCACCGTAATATGCACTATGCAACAACAATATTTGGGGAAATATATCAAATACAGCTCAGAAATACATTTGCTAAATTTTATCGAGATCGGTTCAGATTTGGATATAGCTCCCATATATAACATCGTCCGATTTACCTTTTATTGTGCACCAAACGTCTAATATTTGTCCAAATGGGATGGAATTTGGCACTTACGACCCAATTGAGTCTAGTAGCTAGTATCTCAAATTTGGTTCAGATCGGTTCAGATATAGTTATAGCTTCCATATATATTATTCATCCGATTTGTTATATTTGGTACCCACAACCGTAATATGCACTCTGTAACAACGATATTCAGGGAAATATATCAAATACAGCTCAGAAATATCGTTGCCAAAGTTTATCGAGATCGGTTCAGATTTGGATATAACTCCCATATATATCTTTATCCGATTTCAAATTAATTGTGCACCAAATGGGCAATACAATTCCGAATTTAGTCCTTTGAACTTTAAATTATAATTATAATCATAGCGTGTATGATTGAATTCTCCCATAGAAACTTTTAATTGTTATGTGGAGCTCTACTTAATTAGCAAAGTGGTGTAGGGTATCATAAAGTCGGCGCCGCCCGACTTTAAGACTTTCTTTACTGGTTCATTTTTAGAAAAATAATTATTTCGATCATAGTAACGCTGTGGTATGTCGTGCGCTAGGATAAGATAATTTTCAGATAAATTAATTTTCATATTAAAGCTCTGTTTATATGGTCCCAGAACACTTTTCCCACTATTTAAGCTGGACAAGGGCTGGGGAGGTATCATTATGTGGGTTTTTACCAAATTTGGACTTTGGAAGTAGTTCAAGTATTATATTTTAAATTGTACATAATTACCTTAAATTGTGCGACAAATAACTCATTATATTGTTGGACCTCTGTTTTAGGTTAAGTTTATGTAAAGAACCAATATAAAGAAACAATATATATAAAGAAACAATATAAACGTTAATTCTGTGAACCCTAAACCCTCTGAGGGTTTCTCGCCCAATACCTTCGCTTGGAATTGTTCTCCTACCACCCACACCACCGTTGAAGTGACTACGAAAACAAAGAAGGCAGTGAATTCCAACTACTAGTTTAAAAAAATCCGATTTACCTAAATTCGTCAAAATATGGAATTGCTCTATATGGATATTTTCTGTCCAAAAGGGACCAAGTCCTCACAATACCTAAATTGTAGAGTTTATGGAGACCACACCAAGACATGGCTATATATGGTTCATTTCCAATACCTGAAATTCTACGAACATTTGAGTAAAGTTTTATCAATCTACTTTACACCTAGAGTGATTTTTAGAGATAGGCGGGCAACATGGTGGTAGAACAGCTTCGTAAAACTATAGGAATACAGCCCTGAGGCTATGCCCGCTTCCTGCCAAAATTATTCAAAGTTATATGTGACACGTTATTTTCATTTATTTGATATTTTTGTTCACTTTTAGCGCGAAAGATGAATGAAATGACTGGACGTTATCTTAAAAATGTTAAATCTTTCAATTCCATGACAAACCTAGTTAATATTATTAATGCGCGCAATTTGAATGTCTTCCAATCATTGATTTTGAAAATATTTTGTTTTTATATTTCAAAACAATAAATATGGTAAGTCGGCACTTTTAGGATTTTCGATTTTTCAATCTTTCAACATTCTGAGTGAAATCTTTCAATTACAGAAAAATGTCTATTTGCCAGTAGTCGGCATATGGTATTTCATTAAAAAAGTATTATTTTGCAAAATTTTTTATTTCAAATAGTATAAAACAATGCAACATTACTAAATCACAGTTTAATCCAGAATTTGAAATTAATTTCGTTTTTAAATAGTGTTTTATTTAATTATCATTCTAAACCCAATATAGGTAGAAAATCAAGAATAGCATAGTCTTCAGTAACGTATGGATTTTCAATTAAAATAAAAATGAGATTAAAAAAAAGAAAAAAAGTACCTTTCTCATATTTGGAATTTGTGAATTGATCTTTTTCCTTAAGATAGCCAACATTTTTTTTTCAAAAATGCCACCGCTATCTAAAATGTCAAACAGCTGTTTAAAAAAACTTCTTAATTTAGAAAAGTTGGTCAAAAAGCCCAAATAAAAACAACTGCCGACTCAAAGCTATTTTTTTATTTGAGTAGTTTTTGGATTATTTTTTTTAATACTTTTCTCAAGTTTTGGTGAAATTGGTCAAAAATGATATTTGTCTAGTAATCGGCACCCCCTGCCGACTACTGGAAAATATCTTTTTTTCTGTTCCTAATGTCGTCATTAATTAATATAACAGAAAAATGCTTGATTTGTATGTTTTTAGGTTATAAAATGATCTGTAGAATGTTATTTACAATTATAAAATATTTCTGATTCCAAAAGTATTAAATTTAATTTACATAAATCGATTATTAAGTTGACGCGACCACTAATGTTTTCTTTACAAACTAGCACTATCGCACGCGTTGGAAGACACTCACTGACAAAATCGTTATTCTCTCGTAATAAATTATCGGAGCTCATTGTTGTTTTACAGAAAGAGAGCAGAGAGCACTGTTGACGTTTTTTTGCAATTATTTCATTATTTGGTGTATTCTATTCTTAGTTATTTAAGTTTAAATATCAAAACTGCCGACTACTGGGACATGCCGAACTTAGGCGCACATACCCTATATACACAAAATTGGCAGAAGTCTAGCACACTTAGAAAAATGAGTGTAGCTCTACCTTACCTTTTTATTGTACCATGGACATAACTAATTCGACATATATTTTATGCTGATCAAGAATATATTTACTTCTACAGTCTGTAACCAAAAAATCAGGAAACTATATTTTTACTGACACTCCAAAATTTGTATGTGGCAGGTATAACGCCATGGGAATGAGATTTTTAAACCCTTAGTCATGTTGATACGGAGGGTATATATGACGTGCCTTATCGAAATAACGGTTTTAGACCCTGGGTCTCCACTCTTTCTGGTAGCTTCATATACCAAATTTAGAACCATTTAGTAGTTTTTGTAATTTCTTCGTACATATTTTCAGAACCACCTTCAGCATTTCAAACTTCTACTTCCGTTCGTTCACCCAAACCCAAATTTTACAAAATTTAGTACAATTTAGTAATTAGTAGAACATACTTCCACAACCACCTTCTTATATGGATCCTACCCTTCCAACTTAATTATTATACACACATATTACGATTTTAGATCTATCCGTTCACATAATATGGAATGGAATCATATTTAGTGCTTTTTACCACATTGAGTACACGTATAATACTAATTTCCAAAAATCTTTTGTAAATAAGACCTTTAATACATTTCATCAGCGACCTTCACTCCAATTTTCAGATTTTCTAGCTCTGTCCGTTTGATAGTATAAAGAGACCCCAGCCCTGCCGAAGGCTTTGCATCACTTCCTGTCTGAAGTCTTGTTTCGAAGACAAAAGACTTCGAGATTTAGCAAGTCGAAAAACTTCGTTCTTTCTTAGCTTCCTCAGCGAAGTTTAACCACAGAATATTGCCTCTGAAGTGGATGATCCAGTTTTTGTCTTCAAGGGGATTAGTGTTATTTATGTTGTTTGCCAGAGCCACAACTGGTGTCGACCACAACTCAGCAGATTTCTTTACGGCCACCATGATTTTTCATGTTCGACATCGAATTGTCATTTTTATGCCAATGGACTCTAATACTTGTCATATTATGTGACCACATCATACGAAACGGGGACCTATCTTTCTTCCTTACAAGAAAACGCCTTCGTGGCTTGAAAAAATGTAACCGAAAAGTAGAGACTCTTTATAATAGTCCTCTGCTAATACCTAGACACTTCCAGGTTAATCTTAAACTTATATATTTTCCACCAGATAAATGCTTTTGGTGTGAGCTTTGCAATGCACTCATTCACTTATTCAACTTCGCCTTTCACGGGATCTCGTCCATGTCTCTCCATCTTTCAGAGATAGTTGATCTCACTGGATAAATAATAACAATATTTGCCTGACTCTGCATTTGGAAACATTCCCATCTGCAGGAGAAATGGTAAAATCATCAAATTTCAATTTGTCAATGTCAAATATGTCAATTTCACTTCATTTCATTAGAATGTATGACAGTGTAGTTTTGAAAAGTTTATAGAGCACAACGAACACAGCGCGGTCAGTTTGTTAACATACAAACATGTATGATTAAACACACATATGTATGTACATTTATACAGAGCATTAGCCAATAATGATTCATTAATAAAATAAAAGAAAACAAAACAAATCTTGATAAAAATAGAGAAACTTCCGCAACTTTTGCATTGATTCAAGAATATTTTTGCTCTATCAACATCCAAAGAAAAGAAAAAAAAAATTTTTCAAACACAACATTTTGCATTAGAACCGGTATTTAATGAGTGGTCGTGCCTTTTAAAACATTACCGAAAATTTGTTTTGTTTCGTTGATTTTTAAAATAGGTATGATGTCGACGTTGAATGACTAATTATTCCGGGTCTAGTCATTGTCGGCCGTGGTCGGTTACAAGACATTTAATGTCATAAAATTGCATCATCGTCATCATCACCATCGTTTACAAGGTTGTCAAACCACCCAAAAAAAGAGCCTTGGCGCAACGACTTACCGCACAAATCACATTCAAAATAATCACAATTATTTTATATGTACGTTTAGAGATGTACATTTTGATGACCGGACTTGAACTTAAACTAGAATTATTTTTTTTTTTTATTTATTCGGAATTTATGCAAAATCGTAGAAATGGTATTTGCATTCAATTAGATTTGCTTCGCACTCGACAAATTCGTATTTCGTATCGACGAAATGGCACCGACGATCCGCCAGCACAAAAGCATCCGTTGAAGATTCGCGCGTTGTTCGAACTAAACGCCAACATGTGACAAATGCTGTCTGTTTCCCTCTTCAGAGCAAAGCAAAAATATTTTAAAAACAAATGTTTAACCAACCGGCTGAGAGAATTCCTCTCTCGGTGAATGAAAACGAAATTATTTCATTTCTTAATGACTGAAAAAGCTAACAGTGCGACCGCAAATGAGAGACCAAAGAAGTTTGTTTTGATGTCATGTTTTGTTTTTTTTTTTTTTTTTCTTCAACATTGTCGCATGTTTTTGCTTACACACGTATTATTGCACAGTGGTTCAGAAATTGAAAAGTATTCAGGGGTTCATTTATAGAAAATGGACCAATTTAAAAAGGTCTCGGTTATCACCTCTAAAACTAAATTTATTAATAAAAATTTGGAAGATCTCGAGTTTTAAAATAACTGATTGGCTGACTGAGAATCAACGCCCAGACGAAGCGGCCGAAGCTAGAAGGCGTGTTGTAAAGCTGGTTTTTTATTAAATCCGCACTAAAGAGTACGAAAAGTACTAAAAATAAAATACTTTATATTAGACACCCGGAATTCGGAATAAGATTCACTGATGGAGAGCTGGATCACTGATGGAGTACAAAAGGCTCAGTGATACAGTACTGATGGAGTAGAAAGGGGTCTTTGGAAATTCAATCTTTAGGGTTACGTAAGGTTCTACAATATTACTAAACATATAAAATGGTGCAATTTGGTATTATGTGAACGGAAAGAGCTAAAATTGATATGAGAATCAAGGTTGGAAAGTAAATTTGATATATGACGATGGTTTGGGAAATGCGCACTAAGTGTGAGAACTGTAGTAAATGGTACATTTAGAAGATTTTGGTTTAAAATGCACGGATGAAGCAGAAAATTTGTATTAGGGTCCATGTTGGTGGTAGGTGAGAAAGAGGTTGTTTTGGAAATGTGTACTACAAATATACGAAATATATTATATTTATTGAAAATGGTACTGGGTGACCAGATAGTGCTTGAATTCTGAAACTTGGTATTAGGGTCGCTGTTCATATGTAGTCTGGACACATGGAGGTGGTTTCTGAATTGTGTACTATAATTGAACAAAAAGTACTGAATGGTACTATTTTTAGTATTGGGTGAAGGGATATAGACAAAATTCTGAGATTTGATATTTAGATTACTGATGGCATCCATGTGTTAAGATTTGGCGCTGTTTTTGGAAAGGCGTCTTATATTTGTACGAAAAGTTCTAAATGGTACCAAAATTGATATTGGATGAAGGGATAGGGTTGGAATCCTCATATTTTATATTGAGATCTTTGTTGGTATCTGCAATTGAGATATGGAGGTGGTTTTGGAAATGTGTGCCGTAAATTTACGAAAGGTACTGAATACTACTAAATTTGGTATTAAGAGAAGAAATAGAGCGGAAATACTAACAACTAATATACATGGTGAGATGCAACTTCAGACTGTTGTCATTTCTAAGCCACTCGGCCGACAGCTGTTAAAATTATTCCAGTGAAAGCTCATTATATTCTTTACAAGCGTCCAAAAGCATTTTGGTGAGAATTTTTCAGAAAACAAGTTATTCGTGATGGAATTCAAGCGTGATAGTATGATTTCTTTGTATTTGGCACTCCAGCATTTAAATATGAATAAATCTTTTGTGCCTCGTACCATCTCTCGTCACCGTGATACTGGTAGCGTAGCCCGACGTCAAGGAAGTGGACGGAAGGAAACAGCAACATCAGCAGAAATAGATCGAAAAGTAGATAAGCGACTTGATCGAAACCCTCGTCGCAGTGGCCGAAAAATGGCTCGTGAGCTAAACATATCGCAATATTCCATTCGCCAAATATTGAAAAATTAGCTCGGGTTAAGGCCGTTGAAATTCTAAGAAACGCAAGAATTTACACTGCAACAGAAAGAAAATAGACTCAAATGAGCTAAAGAGTTGTTTCCTTGGCCGAAAGTGGTGAACTGCCGGATTTGCTTTTCTCCGATGAGAAAACATTCGTTGTCCAGCAGTTTGTAAACAAACAAAATAATCGTGTTTACTTGCCAAAGAGGTCAGCTGAAAATGTGCACCTTCGGTGATGGTGTGGACGTGGCATAAGAATAAATGCCGAATATTATAGCGAAAATATTCTGGAGGGTGCATTAAAGCATTTTTGCCGCAGACCTTGGACATTCCAACAGAAATCGGCACGCGCCACCAAAGAATGGTTACAAAATGAGGTTCCTCGCTTCATTTCCAACTCACAATGGCCACCAAAATCTCAGGATACCAATCCGTTGGCCTACTGTGTCTCGAGTATTTTGGAAAACAAGGTTGGAACTAAAAACCAGTAAAGAAAGTCTTAAAGTCGGGCGGGGCCGACTTTATGATACCCTACACCACTTTGCTAATTAAGTAGAGCTCCACATAACAATTAAAAGTTTTTATGGGAGAATTCAATCATACACGCTATGATTATAATTATAATTTAAAGTTCAAAGGACTAAATATGCCGAAGCATTTGTATCTTTTAAATTCGGAATTGTATTGCCAATTTGGTGCACAATTAATTTGAAATCATATAAAGATATATATGGGAGCTATATCCAAATCTGAACCGATCTCGATAAAATTTGGCAAAGATATTTCTGAGCTGTATTTGATATATTTCCCTAAATATCGTTGTTACGGAGTGCATATTACAGTTGTGAGTAGCAAATATAACAAATCGGATGAATAATATATATTTGGAAGCTATAGCTATATCTGAACCGATCTTCACCAAATTTGACATACTACCTTCTGGACTCAATTCGGTCGTAAGTGACAAATTTCATCCAATTTGGGCAGATATTAGACGTTTGGTGCAAAATCCAAGGTAAATCGGACGAAGTTATATATGGGAGCTATATCCAAATCTGAACCGATCTCGATATAATTTGGCAAAGATATTTCTGAGCTGTAATTGATATTTTTGCCTAAATATTGTTGTTGCATAGTGCATATTACGGCGGCGGTGAACAAAAATAACAAATCGGATGAACAATATATATGGGAGCTATAGCTATATCTGAACCGATTTCGATCAAATTTGGCACACATATTTTCAGGCCTAATTTGGGTGTATATGCAAAATTCCATACAATTCGGGCTGATATTACACGTTTGGTGCACAATAAAAAGCAAATCGGACGAAGATATATATGGGAGCTATATCTAAATTTTGACCGATTATCTCCAATTTCAATAGGGTTCGTCCTTGGGCCAAACAAAAGATCTTTGCAAAATTTCGTCTGGATCGGGCAATAAATGCGACCTGTACTTTGTTTACAAAAATACATGGACAGACGGACAGACGGACGGACGGACATGCATAAATCGACTCAGAATGTGATTCTATGCAGATCATCAAAAGGAACTATGGGTCTATCTCGTTTCCTTCTGCCTGTTACAAAGAAATGCACAAAGATATAATACCCTGACCACCTTGTGGTGTAGGGTATAAATACCGAAGTACCGATCACCTCATGCAAGCGCTTCACCGGGAATGGGCCATAATTCGTACCAAAGGTGACCAATTCGAATAAATCTAAACTTATTCTAAAATTTGATGCTATTTCCGACATTTTTTGCTTTCATTCAATAAAATTAAAAAAAAATGTAAAAATTATGGTGTTTAACTTTGTTGCAGTTTTTTTATATCACCCTGTAGAGCTGGAATTCTCAAATTTTATATAGAGATCTCTATTGGTATCTGGTGTTGTGATATGGAGATTGTTGTGAAAATGCGTACAATAATTGTTCTAAAAGTACTAAATGATAAATGGTACGGAAAACATCAAAATGAAAGATAATGAAGACTTTCTAAAACGTAAAAATTTGTCTATTATTCCGAAAACCCATTCCGTATGATAATGCCTTAAACAACAATTTCCGTCAGTTTGGAAGAATTAAAGAAGTTTTGAAAAAGTCCATAACGATATTGACGTTATTCCACCTTGGGAAGTTCTTATTTTAAACTGACCATTTTAGGGACATCACAATTAGACCAATGTTAAGTGTTTTTTCAGTTAACTACTTCCGTACTAAAAACTCAGGAAATGTAATACCTAAAATGTCTTAGGACCTGGCTAAAGACAAACAATTGTTTTGCAAATTTAGACTGTCATGGAAAAATACTCTTCGCCCTGTCACTCTTAGATATGCTAAACAGCCGCTCAATTAAAATGGCATGAAGACATGTTCGTATCACTTAATTCATATTCACTTGTGCTAATTTCAATTCCACTCAGATACTCAAAATGGTTTGATAGGTTTAAATATGTTAATGACTCTTTAATAAGTAAAATTGAAATTTCTTACAAATAAATTTCCCATCCCACTGTTCTTCTCCCAAAATAAAGTGGAAAAAAGAACAAACACCCAAAATCCATAAAATTTCTGAAATTGTTTTGACTAAAAGTGAAACATTCGTGTATTTGTTTGTTTCTCCTTCACAATCCGAAGACATGTTTGATGTTCGATAGAAATTAGAAAAACAATGACGAAAATTCATTCACTGGACGTTATGGTTTTATGACACTCATCAGGGCCATAAAAATCACGGAGAAAACTTTGTCATATCCACGAACATTGTTTTAATCGATTTTTGTTGTAGGGCCAAATGAAGCGGAAAATTAATATGGAAACTGTGGGTCAGCGATTGTAGATAGGGGGAGATTAGTAATACACACATATATGTATGTATGCATATGAACGACCACATCACCTATCCACCATCTAAACCATAACATTCCTTAGGCACTCACTCGAACAGCGATTCAATGGCGGCAGATTTCAATGGAAAAGAATAAATAAAATGTTGAAGCATCAGGCAGACACCTGATACAAGTCGTGAGGTATCGAAACGAGTGGGTTGTGGTTCAGAATGTTTTCAATGTTACTTCGATGCAATCGAGCCAATTACCATTGACTTTTTTGGAATTTGTTTACAACTGTTTGTGCAAATCAATAATTAATTGAACTATTCGCTTAGTTTTAAGA